ATCGTGGTTTTATGCTGTTTCCCCACATTTTGAAAGAACCGCGCCGTGTGGACGTGGCAGGCTGCGCCCTACCATGGCCTCGGCGGAGGCCTCGGGGCGCGGTAGCTGGTGACTTCACGGCGGTGGTTGCAATGTGTCTCGCGTTCCAGCCTCGAGTCATTTAATCATCTTGCAGTGCTGGAGAGGTGGGGGAAAGGTAGGAGACACAATGGTTTTTAAGAGCACGAGGATCCTGATTTTAGACGGTGTTGTACCGTCAATGTGTTTGAGAAGTTGTTGGGAGATGTTGGTGCAACGCTAGTGGTTGTAGATTGCCATCATCTCCCAATCCAAAGCAGAATTTCATACGCTACAGAAGTTTCATTCACTGGAGAAATTCAAACTCGCTCATGTTTGCAAGCAAACAATTCAGAAGGAAATAATGATCAGCGAATGCCCTGCATCTTTGGATGTTACTTAAGACTCCCAGAAAAAATGAGTTACCATGAAATTACGTTTTGTGTTGTGTTACTTTATGACTATACTGCTTACGTAGCAACGCGTTAATGTGTCGAAGGGGTATTTGAGATAACTATTTTAAATCTTTTGTTTACAGAATTAAGACTGAGTTACTACATCTGCTACACCGGTGTAAACTGGGAGTAGTTCATTTACATGAATTCAGAGTTATAATACTGTATTTTGCAAATGTGTCCGATAGACGCTTTCCAATCAGCACAGCACAGAGCATGGACTTTGAGTCACTTTCTGTTTGAACTCAAACTTGATTTAAAAAGTCCAGTAACAGAATTCATCCATTATCCTTAATCATTTTTTAGTTATTAATTGACCTAAGTATTGAAAATACGTGCATGTATCACAGAGAGTATATGAGTTGTTCTTTCCTAACTCTGGCCATTTACAAATTTTTACAGAGCTTTGGCTATTTCTTTTGAATTGTAAAATCTCATTCTTTTAGGTTGTAATATTAATATAATTTTATAGTCGATGGATAGGGAGTGATGGCTTTCAGGGAAGTTAAAAGTCAGATACTAATCTAATTGAACATATTCCCATACATAGTAATTTCAGTTCAGACAGTGAGTGAAAGAGGAAGAAAATTAATGCATTATGGGGGGATTATCTTCCTTTATCTTCCTTTACCTGTTATCTTCCTTTACCTGCATGGATATGCTGGGAGACGAGGCAGCTTTCTCCTCCACTGTAGACTTCCTGAATGGCTCAAAAAACCCTAAATTCTTATTCAAAAGTCCTTAGTAAAATACCTGAAGACTTTTACTGTCTCTTATTATGAAGCAACATTTTGCTGACACAAGTCCATCTGGAGTTAATGTTCAGCATGATTTAACATACAGGGTTTTTTTCCCCCAGGTCAAAAATGAAAGATGAGCGGAAAAGGTCTTATTTTTACAACTGATCATAGAGAGCATGTTGCAGAGGTAAGAGTAATAGTTTCTGACAACTCGCAGAAAACAAAGAATCGAAGCTGAGGCAGGCATGCTTGGCAGAAACTTCCTGGCTAGCTGGAGCTAGAAGTTTTCTCTCTCAGCATGTCCCCTAGAAAGCATTTGGTGAGTGCGCTTTGTAGGGAGCCCCGGGACAGTGTCGCAGTGGGGAGCTGTAAAGGGTATTGCTGTGATCACCGGTTTTGTTCCCCCATGTGTATGTGCAGACAGCACAAGGCTGAGCTGTGCCTGTGGCAGTCATTACGGGGTGACTGAAGAATGTTTTGCTGTAGGTATGGGAAATAATTTTGGCTTCCATTTGAAGTAGCTTCTGGATTTGACACGCTACTTTCCACAGATCTGCATGCTCTGTTATTTTAAACAGAGCTATAAGGTTTGGTTTGTGTTGAAAGCATGTAATAGGTGATCAACTAGTTTAGGTCTTTCTCCTGTTTTTATTGAAATCAATGTCTTTGCCTATAACTGAGTAGCATCAAGGCCCTGTGCAAAGTAGTTTGATTTTTTTTTACACTGCTTTTCAGCAGAAATCCAGAGATAACTGTTCCCAGTGAATGAACCAACTAGCAAATCACCTAAAATTGAAATAGATGTTTTAGATGTGAATGGGGGTATCTCTCATCTATAGGTGATACCACAGGTATTGCCTTGTTTTGGCTATTTTGCATAGAAGTTTCAGGAACATATATTACCAACATTATGAATTACAGCTACAGTTTCGATATTTATAAATGGCTGTTGTCAGATCTGAGATAGAAGACTCATTAACCACATTGTTCGTACCTCAGTTGACAATCCAGACTATTAACAGAGCTCGCAGATTTGCTATTTCTTTGTGTAGGTGTTTGCACTTCGCTGGAAAGGCAGGGCGTGTGAAATATTGTGGCATTATTGCAATGGAACGGAAAAGTTATGTTGTTAGCTCCAGGAGATGGCACTGTGTCCTCTCTGGGCTAAAAATTATATACATAGCTTTGAAATGTACATTCAGAACCAATGGAAGTCTGAGGTTTTTTTCTCTTTCTTGTTATGAAACACACATTTCATTGTAGACCTAAATTCATCTTTAACTGTCCCAAATATGGTATTTCATCACTTTTATTTTTGCAAATACTTTATATTTAAATGCAGGTGTATATATTACCATTATCTGTACAGTGCCTTGTATTTTCATATTCCTGTCACAGTGCTTCTCTGCGATACATGCTTTACAGGCATTTGGAGGACCGGAGAAACAGCAATGTGAACATTTTGTGATTTACCTGAGGTCGTGTAACAGTTTGGGGTTCTCGGCTAGTTCCAGAACTGGGTTCCTCTGCGTATCAAGTTGTCATTAATAATGCGTAAATTTCCGTGAAAAACACAAAAGCCAAGCGCATTAAAAACCGATTTAACTAACAAATTGCCTACTAAGTAGCGAAAAAAAAAAAAAGCCTCCTAAAAGAGTTCTGGCTTTACTGTTCGACCAGGAAGGAGGCACTTTTTCACTGAACTTTCTGTGTGGCCTTTGAAAGTAAATAGCTGGTACGAAAAAAGAGTTTTATTTGTGTTGCGAGATTTGCTGGCTGCTAACGAAGGGCTGACCGAAAGGGAAATGGGTGAGGCCTGCACATCCTGTGCTCTGTCTGCCCGTGCACCCTGCCCGCGCCGAGCGCACGCTGCCGTCTCTCTTCCGACGAGAGGCGGCTGAGGCGACCTGCAGCGGGCCGGCCGGCGGCCTCACGGGGCTCTCCTCTCGTACACCGGGTTGTAAATGTTTTGCAAGGTGCGTTGTTCTCACGCGGAGGGCAAGAGACTCCCCCAAAACCGAGAAGTCTTCGCGGCAGAACTAATTTAAACCGCGATTTCCCCCCGGCTCGGCGCTGCCGGCGCCCCCTTTCCCGGGAAGCACCGCCGGGCGAGACCCGCGGGGTCC